TCTGGGGACTGACACTCCGAGCAGCACTGAGCCTCTCGGTTTTGAGGGGGGCAGAGACCTTTCCTTCCCCTGCAGGCTGGGGACTGTGCGAGGCAGGTTGGTTTCTTCTAGAATTAATGTTGACCTGAGTGTCCCACCCTGGGGTCGGAAGCTGCCCGCGCCCGTGGGAGCGGCAGGACGTGCTGTCTCCGGGCTAGGTCTCCCTTGCGGCGATGCCAGGGCCCCCGCTGCCGGGCTCAGCTCCTCTTCCTGATGGGGACGGGCTCAGCGCCCGGCTCGGCGTCGGGGCTGGGGTGGCCCAGCCCTGCGCTGCCCGGCGCCAGCCCGATGCCGGGGTGGGAGCTGCGGGGCTGTGCCGCCCGTGCGGGAGGCCGGGCAGCACGAGTGCCCCTCTGTCAGACGGGGAGAGGGGAGCCCTGGCGGCTCTGGCTCCTGGAGCAAAGCGAGCCCCGTCCCTCCACGCGCAGGGCCGCTTTCTCCTGCCCGTCCCCGCAGAGGCAGAGATGTCCCTCGCGGCCCTTCGGACAGGGGCTGTGGGATGAGCTTCGTGCCTTTGGGTGCCTCCCGGGGCGGCTGTGCTGCATCGTGGAGTGGAGTAAGGAAGTTTCGTTGCAGGGTCTCTGATGTGAGAAAGTCATTGATACGTGCAGTGGTGTTTGGAGAAAGTCGTAAGAGACATTGAAGTGGCTGGATTATGCCCACAGAGCACTGTGCAGCATTTTGACCTCACAGCTGAAGTGGGCATCGTCTTCCTTCTGATGTCTGATGCAGGTTAATGACAGAAAGAGGCACTCTGTGGGGTGTAAGTTGTTTTCTCTCTTAAATATGAAATGTTAATGCTTCCCAGAGTATGTCTCTGCAGTATAAAGTTTGGTATAAAATTCAGTGGATTTTATGCCAGGATCTTCCTTCAGCCAGTGCTTGCGCTTGTGCCTGTGTGCATCTGCCTGTCAGCGCTTCTTTCCCATTAGCTTTATATTTTAATGCTGAACAACAGAATTTGACAGTGAGGAAGCGTCCTAGAGGCTAAAGTAGGAAGGTATAGATGACGTTTATTTTTTATTTATAGGTCCCTGAAAGAATGATATGTATTCTGCTTCTCTTTGAGGACTGAAAGAGAACAGAGCTGGCGTTTCTCAAAGGTTTTGAACTCCTGAATTCTTGCACCAGCAAGCAGACTCCTCTTCCTTGGTCTCTGCAGCAGGACAAGCCGTAGCTGATAAGGGCACTGCCTCGCTTAATGCGGTCAGCGATGAAATAGATAAGGCTGACCTCTGTTTGCAGGACAAGCTCACGCTGCCAAGTGCAAGTTATCCATGCCTGAGAAAAATGAGCTGTAACATCAGCTCGGTGGCTTTGTGCCTCGCGGGTGGCGGTGAGCAGGCGGGCAGGCTGGCTCCTGCCCTGTGCCCCCCCAGGGTCACGGCTTCTCTCTGGGAAAAGCTCTCTAAGTTTTTCAAAACAGTGCATGTTTAATTCACAGGACCAAAAAGATGCTGTTCAGGGGACAAGGGACCAAAACAGGCCCTGGGGTGAAATTTGGAAGTTGCAAGTGGGGCTGAAGGGGTGAGCGAGGACGTGCGGTTGCTTTGGTGCTGGGGGTGAGCGCAGCGGGGCTGCCGCAGCCGCTGGGCCCAGGGGTGAGCACCGGGAGAAGGTGGGGATCGGGTCAGGCCGTCTGGAAATCCAAACTCATGTCTGTTCAGGCCTCAACTCTCCAAGACCCTCACGGACAAAGCGTGCTCGTGCTGCTGTGGATCCGTGCGGCACCCGTGCCCTGGGCACGGCCTGCACCTCCAGCCTGTCCTGGCGGGGCGATGGCGGGGGCCGGGGGAGTAACGAGGGTGGGCAGAAGCACGCAGTGCCTCCGTGTGATGAGTGGAGCAGGACTCGGCCTGGGAAAGCAGCAGCTGCTGGGGGAGCCCCGCAGAGGCAGAGAGGGTGGTTTTTCACTTTGTCTTCCAGCACGAAAATCGGGGCTGCCAAGCTGCGCCCTGAACTGAAGAAGACTGAACGCTGCCTTCTCCTCCCCCGGGAGGTGTGGAGGGGGAGGAGAAACAAACAGGGAGGAAAACAAAGTGATGGGAACAGGGAGGACTGAGGGCCAGAATGCAGAGCCAGGGACCGGGGAGGGCAGGTGGCTGCTGACCAGGAGAGGCTGTTGCAAGACCGAGCTCTCTTGCTGGCAGCGCAGGCGCCTCTCCCCTGCCTTTGCCCGCAAGAGCCCGCGGCCACAGCGCCGTGGCGGGGGGGATCCGTGATGGTGCCGTGGCCCCCGCGGGCTGTGCCGCTCGGTGGGCCAGGCGGGTCCCCACCACTGGCTTGCACTCGCATCACCAAAACCCTGCAGCCAGGAGCCACAGCTGTGGGAAACACAGCCTGGGGGTGATGGGCTGTAAATATCTGATGACCTGGGTCCTGAGGGGGGAGGGAACCTGCTTACAGTCCCGGAAACCCACTGCAGTGGGGTGGGATGGGGAAGTGTGACATTCCCTGCGAGAGGCAGAGGGCTCTGCTCTCCTCCTCCTGCTGCGGAGACCTCGCCAGATGCCTCCGGCTCCTGGCAGGGCTTAGGCTGCTGCCGTGTGTCCCTCCTTTGTTTCTCACCTATGAGGTCCGTGGTGGAGAAGTCAATAGGCTCTTCACACACTATTGGGGATTTTTAATGAAGTTTTGCTATTAAACTGTTATTAGGCCATAAGATATTCTTTGACACTTCTCATATTTTATAGCATGTTATAACATACAGTGTTTGAGTCTGTCCTGAACCCCACAAAGTGCATTAGGGGCGACCTGCTAAGTCTCATCCTTCTCTAATTCTTTGGGGCACAGGGCCTTGGAGACACTCAGCTCTAACTGCCCTCTGTGTCTCCCACAGAAGTGTCTACGGCTGAATCCGGACGTTCCAGTGTGGGTTTCCAAGCAGCGCATCCTCTGCATTTTGAACCACAGCCTGAAGGATGTTCTGAACTATGGACTCTTCCAGCCGGCCTTCAACGGCAGGGCTGGGAAATTTTTGGATGAGGAACGCCTGCTGAGGGAGTACCCCCTGAACCCAGACACTCCTGTCCCATACTTGGAGGTAGCTGTCTTCTTTTTTTTTTTCAAAATGTGTGAATATCTATATATATGTATATAGATAGATAGATAGATATACGTACATAAGTATGTAGGACTTCTACGATCCCTTCCACTGGAGTCTCTGTAGGCACCACAGATATTAATGTCCCCTGTCCCCCTCCCCTTTTTTTCCCCATTTCCCTTCCTGGAGTGAAAGCATAGAAATTTGTGTGGGTGTCTGTTTACTCATGGAGAATTCATTGAGGGAAAGCTGAGGCAAATGCCTCTGAGTTTTAGTTACTCGTGACTCTGCTCAAGAGCTCCAGACTCTGCTCAAGAGCTCCAGAACATCTGTCAGCCCCATGAAACAACTTCCCTGTTTTCTTGACCCTGTTGATCAAAATCTCTTATTTTCTAGTGGTGCATAACTATCATGGGAAATGGCAGTAACAGCAGGAAAGCCAGTCCCATATACAGGGGGAAAATCATAGGGAGATTTTTGAATATGAGGCTGAAGTACTTGAATTTGATGTTTTATTTAATTTACAGTCACTGTAGAGGCTAGAATGCAACTGTGTGCTTTGACAGCAAAATGACTGTCCCTGAATAGACCTCATTCATGGGACGAGCATGGAGGGTAATCTATACTATCTTCTGCTCTAGAAAATTAACTAGAGCAGAAATTAACTGAATGAACTCTATTTACATTCACTATAGGTTTTCCTTTGGGCTGGGATTCAGGTGATGGCATGTAGGTTTTTATTCCAAGGTGACCTGCAGCATTTCTTGGGCTCCGCTGACTGTCTCTGGGGACATCCCCACTGGCCGTAACGGGACTCCAGTTACCTGCACGTGGATTTAGTCACTGAGGGAGCTTCTGCTATTTGGAAAGCATTACATGTTTAAGCTGCATGAGCTATTATAAATGCAAACGTGAATGCTGTTATTATAACTAATCCTGACTAATTTGGAAAGAAAGTGCAGCACAATTTTGTAGCAAACTAACATTTAATGTAGACAAAAACATTTGGAACAACATTAAGAGTGCTTGCAAATAAACCTATGAGGTAGTAAATTTCTTAATGTCAGGCTTTAATGCTTTGTTTTTGTATAATTTAGCATAATGTCCACACTTAATGTTTTATCACACACATCTAAATGCAAACTTGACATGGATATTTGTTGTGTCATTTTGATTCTTCATAACTTGGTAAGAATGGCAGCTGAGCGCTGGAGAATCCTATTGAAAAACCAAAAATCCAGAATCTATTTACAAGACATAATCCTGTGCTGATACCACTGAGGTTTCTTGAACACAAAAGATAAATTAGGCCTCAGGGCTGCATATGAAGGTAATCAGATAAATGAGGGCTTTGTGCATATTGTCAGAAAAATGACACTAGAAAGCAGGTATCTGCAGTAGCTCCCTGGAGAGAAGGGATGGTGACTGTTCTGTGCCAGGGAAGGGTGTAGATACTCCAGGTTCCTTTATGGGGATGAACCTGCAGCTGTGGTGCATGTGCTGGTGGCCAGGCAGCACCCGGTGGGGTCCCCCTGCCCCATGGCCGGGACCCTGCTGCCCCCCAGCACGTCTGGGGGCGCCGCCTGTATCCCCCTTCTCTCACCGGTGGTTATCTGCTGTCAGAACTTGTTGTGTCCTTCTTAACGAGGTACTACCGTGGTGTTCTCACCATGATCAATCATTCCACGTTCACCCCGTAGATCTGAAGGAGATCTGGAAATTCCCGTGCCTGTGTGTCACCCCCGTGCGAGCCTGGCCGCGGGTCAGCTCCTGGAGCAGAACTGTGGGGCTGTGGGGATGTGACTCGCTTAGGCTCGACAGCCCGCTCCAGGCGCTTCTTCAGGAGTTTTGCTGCTCAGTTCTGCGCAGCGGACTGCAGGTTGTACAGCTCCGCTCCTCGCAGATGAGGTTTTTGCCTCGCGCTTTGGTGGCAGTGAGCACCGCCCTGCCCCGCAGATGCTCTGCCCCGGCCCCTGCCCGCGCAGCCCGGAGCCCGGCTGTGACCTTCCCCCGGGCGGGCGCTGGGAGCCGAACGCCCGCGGAGCAAGGGTGGGGGCAGGACCACCTAGGGGTGCACAGAGACCCCTGGCACTGTCAGCGTCTGCAAAGGACCGATGTCTGTAAATCAGTAGGCAAGACAACTTTTACCTTGGAATGATTAAAAAAACCCAGTTGTGTAAGAAAACATTTGCCCAGTAGTACAAGTTTGTGATAGACTGAAAAGTGCTCATATTTTCCCAGTATTGAAAAGTAAGTGGGATGAGCTTAGTAACTGCAGCCCAAAGATAACCTGGTATCAGTTCCAGCTGAAATAATGAAACACTGATGGAGGATTAAGTTCATAGCAATTCAAAATCTCAGAATACAATGCATGCATTGGAAAAAGATCTAGCCAAATCCAATTTCATTCTTTAAGGAAACTGTAATTCTGTTTGATAAAGATAACTCTACAAAGGTAGCAGCCACCTGGGGGTACTTGATTTTGTTCTACATGGTATTCAGGTTCAGGATTAGCACCATAAACCATCAGTAGGATGAGTGCCACTGGCTAGCTAATTGATGATGCAGAGCAGTTGTCAGTGCCACCAGCACTGCATAGATGCATTTCTAGTGGGGTTGCTTTGGGACCGGTGTCAAGCTCGATGTGGTCACCCCCAGGATCTGGGTGTCAATGGAAAATCACTGCTGATAAAGTCTGATTACACAAAGTTGGGCAGAGAATGTAACAATGGTGACTGCGCTGTGCGGGTCGTTTGGTAAGCGAGGTCCCATCAAAGTACGTGCTAAGTCAGCCAAATCACAAACATACAGGGACAAGGATTGCTTGCAAAGGAGGGACTCTCACTGTGGAAAAAAAAGTTTCCAAAGAAAATTTGTGAGCCTTTTGGTCAAGAAGCCTTAAAGTGATTTTCAGTGTGATGCTGTGGCACAGCGTGACCCTGTCGCCCTTCAGCGTGTGCCCTGACAGGTGGTGAGTTGGTTTTAGGAGTGGGTGGCATGGAAGTGGTTGGTGTTGGAGCAGTGTGTGGGTGTAGTTGGAAGGACGTTAGAAAGAGGCATGGCACAGGGAAGAGCAGCAGAAATGGTCTGGGAACAGAGAAGATCCCTCAGTGAGAGGTGTAGAGCTCAGTCCGCTTACAGGGAAGTCGGGTCTAGCCACCTGTGTAAGAACCATCCTGGGGAAAACCATCCTGTTGTTAGAGAGATCCCTCATTAATTAGGAAGAAGCAGAACAAAGCCCACACCATCTGGAAGCTGAAAGCAGACAGATCCATGTGACAAGCTGGTCAGATTTTCTTTCGTGAAGAAAGCAATTAACTATTAGAGCAAATTGTGAACGAGAACAGCGTATTCTGTGTCTGGTGCTGTTTTCAGGTCTAGGCTGAATGTCTTCATGCGAGCTGACGTTTACTGGAGCTGCTCGAGAGCAGTTTGATGCTGAGTCGGGTTTGTTCATCTCATATCTGACATTCTTCCCTCTTGCAGTTCCGGTACAAAAGGCGTGTGTACACCCAGACTTTGCTGGATGACAAGCAGTTTGCCAAGCTCCATACGAAGGTAAGGCTGAGTCTAGCTGGCTGCCTCAAAGCAGCGTGTTCAACACTGGTGGTGGCCTGTCACAGGGTTCGGGGGGTTTCCATCTTTCCTGCTTGCAGAGCATTTCAGAGGGATGGACGGCGTGTGCCGAACTTGGGGTGGTTCAGGTGGGGGTGTAAGCTGAAGGACCCCATCGAGCTGTGGTGGGGTGCCCGCGCAGGGATGACCTGTGTGTGCTAGCGGGCAGGTGTGTGGTTGGACTGGGCTTCGCAGGGAGGGCGTGGGGTTGGCTTCCCAGGAGTGCTGAGGCTGAGGGACACGTGATGGGCCGGCTGAAGAGAAGCTTTATTCTCTGGCACGGAGGAGTCACTAAAAGCCCAGAGAGCACAATGGTGCACATTGAGGAGCAGGCCTTCCCTCCCCCAGCGAGAGGCTGCCGCACGCCTCCGCTTTGTACCGGGCTCGGGCTTGTTGCTTTGTCTCTGGCTTTAACCTCCATGTTCGGGTCGGGATTCCACTGGCAGGATCCACATGTGAAGTGGAAAACGCTCTTGGTCTGCTGCAGCCCCCACGTGTGGTGGGCAGTGATCAAGGCTTGTGTCAGGATGAACGATGCAGGCACGGAACAGACCATCTGGTGTTTGGAGGACAGTGTGGCAGGAGCGGGGCTTTTGCACACATGGGTGTTTCCTGAGAGGAGAGACACCCCACCACACCCACCGGACTCTGCGGCCAGGGATGCCCCAGCTGGCACAGCCAGAGGCCCAGGGATGCAGATGGCCACCAGGCTTGGGCACGTGCTGACTGGGTGCCCTCTCGCACTGCTCTTCCCTGGACAGCTGCGGCGGTTCCGTGGTGTCACTTCTTCCCTAAGAAATGAAGAACAGTAGTTGTGGAGAGATCTGGAACCATGAGAAGATTTCTGCTGCTATTGATAATTGTGCCTAGAGATGGCACATGGCCCTGTGGGGACTTGGCTTGTTCCTGGGAGGCCGGGGTGCGTGGTGCGTGGGAACCCCGAGACAGGAGGAGGGAGGTTGCTCCGGCAGCGCGGGGGCTGTAACGCGCTGGGCAGCCTTCAAACTGCTGGGTGGCAGGAGGACACCTGAGCCCTCATCAAACTCGTTTTCTGGGAGAGTCTGTGGGGAAGGGCCGGGGCAGGGAGTGGGGCCATGGAGATGCTCACAGGGATGGCCCATGCGTGGAGGGCGCTGTGCTGGGGATGGCCACGCTGAGAGGCTTTGGGGGTGCTTGTTCAGGAAGGGCGTGGGACTGGCCGGGGCCCCAGGGCTCCCTGCTAGCGCCATTGTTGCTGCGTGTCACCAGCTTCCTCGGAAACCCCCGGGGCAGAGCGACCACTTCCCGCCGAAGCCTGGGCAGCCTCGTGGCTGTTTCCCTTTTGCCCGCTGACGTGACACGTGCTGTTGTCGGCCTTGACCCTGCTCGGCTGCTCGGTGGCTCCGAGACCAGGGCTGGGTGACTGCGGAGGTGCTGCTCCTCCTCCTCCTCCTCGGCCTCCTGGCAGCCCGTGCATGGCTCCTGCTGCGGGTCTGCAGGGTCTGCTCCGCTGCTGGTCACCTCTGCTCCGTGGGGTTGTAAATCTTCAGTTAACAGGTACAACAGCAAGAGCTGAGCTTGGTGGAGCCACAGATGTAAAGCAGAAGCAACAAAAACCTTCTCCCAAAGGGCTTGACCTACCCCAAGGGTGAAAATCTTCCTTGTGGGGAGAAGCAGGTCCTCTGTTTTTGCTGCAGAAAAAAGAAACACAATGCTGCTAGGGTTCAGGTTTGACTCACAAAGATTAAAGTCATGAGGGCTTCTGTCTGGTGGCGTAAGAACATCCAGGCAGCAAATCTGGAAAGCTCTCAGCATCTTCCTGGCGCCAGGAAGCGTGAATCACAGTCCCCCTGAGCCTGGCCCAGGAGCGGCCGTGCCTCTGGAGGGAGGGCCGGAGGCGCCTGCCCCGGGGAGACCCAGGCAGCAGTGTCTGGGCATTTTCCCTGCAAGTCTGTAGTAGCCATAAATGCACCTTATTAAATGTTCACTTAATCTCCATGCTTTAATTTCTACTTAAAAACCAGATTTCATTCATGTTTCTGTTTTTAACCCATCTCTTGCTGATAAAATACAGCACTGAGCGAGATCCTGCATCTCCGCTCCCTTTGGGCTCCATCGAGGGGATGCTGGTGCTTGGGGGGGCTGAAGAGGAGCCCTGGGGCTGCCCCGGGGCTGCTGGGGCAGGGTGTGGTGTGGGGGAGGCAGCTGGTGGTGGCACAGGAGGGGATGGGGCCGGGCACTCCTTGGAGCGATGCCGGCGCTGAGCCCCGGCACCTGCCTGCCTTCCCTGCCCGGCACAGCTGGAGGCCTGGGAGAGGGTGAGGGGAGCACCCGTGTGCACCCCCCGGCACTGCGCTGAGGGCAGGAGGGGGACGGAGGGCGGCGGGGCTGCCTCGGCAGAGAGAAAACCCCCCGGCTGCTGGGGACCGCAGAG